TATATATATATATATATATATATATGAATTTAGAAAGTAATGAGATAATTAAAAGCAACGTTGAGAAAACTAAGGGAAGGGAAAAATTATTGAGAAAATTTTAAAATAGTAATAAGATATGGAATAGAACACAAAGATGAATATGAAATTGAGTTTGTGTCTGTATGAAGAAGTGATAACCCGGGACCATGCTATTCTCAAAAAAAGATATTTTATTTGTATTATGTTTTGTGAAAACCTAAATAAAATTTTTACAAAAAAAAAAATATTGCCAAGAAAACTTCAAGGATTTGTTTACAAATGAGCAATGATTTATGGCACCAAAGGGAGGGAATAGAAGTGTATACCCCTCATCTTCTATTTTATATGAGAGGATCAAAATATTTTTCAAAGCACCAAAAGGCAAGATGAAAAACAATGGATAGAAACTATTCCAGGAGAGAAACAGCCTAGGACTAAGGAGAAATTTCCTAGCGGTGGGAGCAATCAACCAATAGAACAACTTGCCTTCAGAAGTTGTGGTCCTCCATCCCCAGAGGCTTTCAAAATGACATTGGGCAATCATTTATCTGAAATGGTATAAGGCAGGGGTGTCAAACTCAAGACCCACGGGCCATATCTGGCCCACAGGGTGCTTAGATCTGGCCTGCTGGGCTGGCCTGGAAAAAACAAAGGACTGGTCCATGGTGCGTCTGCCAGCAAAAATGGAGCTCGGGGATCATGGCTCCATTTTCACTGGCAGAGGGCTGCAGAAAGCCATTGTGGCTGAAAATGGGACATGGCAGGCTGCACATCCCCCTGAGAAATGTTTTCCCTTTTGCCCTTGAGCATGCAAGAATGGACAGGAAAGGAATAAGGGAAAGAGGAAAGACACAGATAAAGAAGCAAAGATGGAAAGAGAGCAAGGAAGAAAAATTAAGGAAAGAAGGGAAAGAAGAAAGGAGAATGAAGAGGGAAGGAAAAAGAAAAGAAAGGGAGGAAGGGAGGGAGGAGGGAAAGGAAGGAAGGAGATTATAATAAAAATGAAGGAGGGTCTCAGGGATGTCCTGCCTTAGCACTTAGCTACCATAGGTGCCCCTGACATGAGTGATGTTAAGCTTCCCATGGCCACCATGGCCACACACCACAGCCATACCCCCCCCCCCCCAAGCCCTTGGAGGTCAAACACAACCCTGATGCATCCCTCAATGAAATTGAGTTTGACACCCCTGGTATAAGGTCTCCTGCTCAAGCAAGGGGCTGGACTAGAAGACCTCCAAGGTCCCTTCCAATACTATTATTTTATGTTCTAAGTCCATGTGAGCATCATAATTACATCAATTAAAAATCCTCATTCTGGGTATAGCCACCCTTGGGCAGGAATGGGAGAAACACCCTCCAGATGGAAAACTTTTGTTTAGCTTCCTGCTGAGTCTTTGTAACACTTCATTATATTTATTCTCCTGATAAGCCATTGAGACATCTTTAAAGTTGCTGAATTAGCATTTAAGTCAACCCTTTTATTGTTCTTTGGAGACGGCACTCTGTCACTTTGTATCTATGGATTCTAAAGAGAGCTGGCAGTAAATAAATAATGCATCAGGCATATTGCTTCATGAAATTTGTTCCTAAAAAAAAACTTACTAAGCTCGGTGATGACAGAGATCCGTTTGGAAAAACTGCGTGATTGAACTCCAATTGAATCTTCAGTGAATCCCTTCGGATTAACTTTTGATATCAGTATAAGAGGGATGTGGGGGGGAGAGAAAAGAAACAAAGAAAGTCAGGCATAAATATAAGAGGTTCTGAATCTGCCAACAAATGTTTCTTAAACTTTATTTAATGCAAACAAAGAGACATTTCTTTGGCCTTTAGTTCAGTTCCAGAACTTCATTATCTTGGAAGCTTTGCTGAATTACAAATGGGACTCATTTTTCCCAGGCTGTTTTTCTTTTTTCTCAATAACCCAGTTTAATTCACTTCTTAATTAATGTGCTTTACAGAATGCAGCTATTCAATAGATCTGGTTTTCTCTGATGTTGCGGTATAGCACTTGGCTTTAAAATTGGAAAGGCATATTTTGATGGTAAGATGTGTATGTGAATGGCAATAAATTCACATGATTAAGTGCAAGTCTTCTTAGCTTTACCTCTCTCCCAACCCTTGCACAAAACAGGAAGTAAAGGGACTGAAAATTACATACATGTAAAACAGACATAGATTAGAGAAATGGTCAGACCTGCCCCAGTCTGATCCCTTAGGGAAGAAAAACCCTAGACTCCATTTGGTTGAAGTGAAAGGTACTAAGAAATGCTGGTTGCAGTAAAGTAAAGCAGAATCTGATTTTCCCACACAAGACAAAACTTTCCTTCAGTCCCATACCTCTCCCCATAACCAGTCCAAACCCAGCCAATGTTATGCCATGGGGATGTTTTGGGAATGCTGAGGTATTTAAGCTAGTAACTTTCCACACTCGGGGAAAATGGTATTGAAGATGGTTCCACATTGATCTGCTTTTCTTTACTTGTCATTCCCCCTCCTGAATTCCCACACAAAAATGCATACAGGTTTATTGCCCATTTGTCCTCCCCTCATGCTCCCCGCTTGCAGTCCTTTGATAGCAGGATACCACCAGGGCACCAAGCCAAAGATGGTGGACCTCACATAAACACAGGTTTCATAACTTCTGATCAGTTGTGTGGGATCCTCTTTTTCAGAGATGGTGCAAAAGCTTTATATATTCAGTACCATTTTGGCTACTTGGTTTGCTCACTGCTTGCCTTAGCCAACCAACAGCATTGCCCATTGGCCCTCTTAAAGGAATATGAAGAAAAAACATTGCCATCACTTTCTTTTATTTCTGTTACAATGCTTTAAAGTACTGCAACATGATAGGCAGTAGCAACAAACACACACACTTATATCTGCTCTTCCCTTCCTCTCCATTCATTTCTCCCAAGAAAATTCCAGAAAAATTCTCTCGTTTCCCTGGCTGCAATGACAAATCATTTATCCCATAGCAGTAGTTTTCAGTCACTGGCCCATGGATCTCTGAGTGACCATGATATAATCATGGGGGGGGGGGGGGGGGGGCATGAAGGGTTGGAAAAAATGTTAGGATTTAAATCTCATGTTAAATCTTGGGGGATCCATGCTAAACAAAAGGTATTTAATTGGGCTCCATGTGAAGAAAAGGTTTAGAACCGCTGTCCTACAGCATACTTCCATGCATTCTGATGGTGTGTCAGGAATTGAAAAGTTATCAATGTGGAAAATCCATTATCTTTGCTGATCTATCCTAAAAATATTCCTTTTGCTTTTTAGTGAAATCAGCAAAGTTGTCAGGAAGGAAGAGATGTAGACATTTCTGGGGCAATTTAAAAAAGCCTCATAAGACTGAGACTCTGCTTCATCCTGAAAGGGAGATTTAAAACATCTAAAGTCCTCTAAAATATAAAAGTAAAGGTAAATTTTTCCCTTGTCTAGTCATGTTTGACTGTAGCGGGGGATGCTCATCTCCCTTTTTTAGTTGAGGGTGCCAGCATTGTTCAAAGATGCTTCCATGATCATGTAGCCAGTATGACTATATGCTGAAGGTGCTGTTATCTTCCGATCGAAATCATACCTATTTATCTACTCACATCTGCATGCTTTTGAACTGCTAGGTGGGCAGGAGCTGGGACAAGGAATGGGAGCTCACCCTGTCATGCCGTGGGTGGGTCTCGAACCCTAGCCGTCAGCTTTCCAGCTAACCATTTCAGCATCTTTAACTGCTGAGCCATCACACCTCTCAAAGTCTTCCAGGACACCATCAAAGACAGTAGATTCACATCCTAAATATTCCAGCCTTAATATATTTTTGCAGAATTGCCATTCTCATATTCACATCTTTTGGCCTGATTGACAAAATTGGATTTTTACTTATTTATCATATTTAGAGACCACCCTTCTCCATCCTAGAACATTGAAAAAAAGGACAATTGCAATTATTTCAACACAAAAGAACAAACTAAATTTATGAAAAAAGGAGGAAAAATTATACATTTCATTGGCTTAATTGCCTCTTCTAATTGTTGTTTTTTGACACAAAATACACACTGCCTACATATAAGCCTTGAAAATGAGGGAAACATTCCTTACTTCTTAACTTAAATCCTTTTAAAAAATGCAGTAATTATTTCTCTCTCCAATATGTTAATGACAAAAGCAAGGTCATACTGCTAAGGTGGTAATAAATTGGATTAAAAGTAAAATTGGCTGTATAAGCAGGAATTTGGGCAGTATTAAACATGTGGGTGGGATTGTTTTGTCAAAAGCTAAAGAAATTAAAAATAGATACTGGAGCATCCACATAGACAAATGCAATCCAGGGGGAACTGTTATGCAGCTGTTAATCCAGTTTATATGTCAATGAACCTATAGCAGCCACTCAGCAAATTGTAAAAACAGTCTGAAGAGATGAAAGGATTTCACACATGCTATAAGAGGGTCCTAAAGACAGTGAAATTATCAGCATCTCAGAAAGAGGATATACACTGCTTAAGTCAAATCTCTTTTAAGTCAGATTTGACCCAATGCCTTAGGTGGACACATCTGTGTTGTTACCTTGGCAACAAAACACATATTTTGTTATTGCTTTTCAGAAAACTTGTCTGTCTGTCCCCCCCCCCCCATATCTACCTACCTACCTCTATACCTACCTGTCTGCTTTCTTAACCTACCTATATATCTACCTACCTACCTATCATGTTCTGGCTTAATCTAAATGAAAAATAAACTTCTATCCAAAAACTAACCAGGGTGACCATGTTTAGCAACCAAATTCAGATACAATTGACCACCCATTGCTACCTGCTGAGATCTGTAATTGTTTATTAATTGTGATCAATTTAAGCACTTAATGTAGCACCTCTTAAGCTATTATACTGATTTTTGCTTTCATTTTGATCACAATTTCTGTAAGCAATAGACTTCTCCCCTTCAACCAAAAAGAATGAACTTCTGAAAACTAGATATTTCAAAAGGAATCCTTTATTGAAAGGAGGTGAATCCAGTATTAGTGAAAGAAGAATCTAAGGTGCTTCCAGGCATACAGTATTAGATAAAGGGAGTTAGAACCCCTCCCCTTATTTAGATGTGGATTTAGTCAAACAAAGAACAAACATGTTTATTCCTCCCTCCCTTTTCCTAGGAATGTATCTTAGAGGATTTTCCCAGGGAGTAACTTCCAGAGCTGGAATTGTTATGGTCCCTTCTCCTCTTGCTATCGCTCCAAGAGGTGACAAGTTTCTAGCCATCTGGCTCCAGTCCTCCAGTTGTATATCATGTGCTGTTACACAGATTCAATATAAGATTTAATATGTTCAGGTTACATCAAAAAGGATTACTTGTATCAACTCCCCCCCACTTCTTCTTACATTGAAGAATGGCAGATACACAGATCTGACATTCTGCCCTTCTCAAAAATTTGATAAATCCACCTGGAAGACCTAAAACATGTGTTACATTTACAATTTAGGATGGTTTATGAGGGCATTTCAAGTGGAACTTCCATAGTAATGTGGGTGCTTTTACATATTGTTTGGCTACCCACTCATTTTTTGAGGAAGGAAGGTGTTTCCAAGCTACTAAATATTGTGTGGATCCACAATGACTGTGCGAATCAAGGATATCTTTAATTTCAAAATGTTGTTCCCCATGTACCATAATGGGAGTTGGAGGTGTCAGGGGGGGGATCTAAGGTTTGAAGTGATCTCTGGTTTGAGTAGGCTACAGTGAAATACTGGATGAACCTGTCTAAATGTTTTGGGAAGTAGAAGCTCTACTGTAACAGGATTAATTATTCTGCAGATTAAAATGGTCCAATGAATTTTGTTCCCAGTTTCTTCAAAAGTTGCAATGATTTTAGGAATTTTGTGGACAAATATACACGGTCCCCATCTTTGAATGCTTTAGGATCACAACATTTTTTGTCCGCTTGAGTTTTAAAAGCTGCTCAAGCCTCTTGTAAAGCTAATCTGACCACTGGCCAAGTGGCTTGCAAATTATTAATCCACTCCTTAAGGGAGAGAATTTCAGGTTCCATGGTGGGTAGTTCTGGCATGGGGTTGAATTCTTGGCCTATGACTACCTGGAATGGGGTGAAACCCATGCTGCTCTGGACTGAGTTGTTGTATGCTACCTCTGCAAAAGGAAGAAGATCAGTCCAATTGTCCTGTTGGTAATTAATAAAGCATGTTAAATGTTGTTGTAATATGCTCTTCAATCTTTCAGTTCCACCATTAGTCTGGGGTGATTTGACGATGACAACTCATGGGTGGAACCTAATAGGTTTAAAAAAGCCCTCCAAAATGTGGATGTGAATTGTCCACCCTATCTGAGATAATCCGTTGGGGAGCTCCATGAAGGTGATAAATGTGTATTAAAAACATCTTTGCCAAGGCCTTGACTGTTGGGATCTTTTGGCATGGTACAAAATGAACCTGTTTTGAAAAAAGATCAGTTACAACCCAAATGACAGTATTCCCTGTACTTTCAGGGAGCTCCACTATAAAGTCCATAGAGATCTCTTTCTAGGGTGCTGAAGGTTCTGCCACTGTTTGTAAAAGTCCAGGAGATTTTCCTTGTCTTCTTTTTGCAGCAGCACAGATGGGGCAACTAGCAACATAGTTTTCAATGT